AAAAAAAAAAAAAATCAATTCCCGGACACATTCACTATTTCTCAACGACACAGGTAATTTTTACGAGATTTCATAGTGTTTCCCTTAAACAATAGCTTAACCGCATTCTGTTCGAATGAATACTCAACACCAAGATTTTACAACCAGAAATGGCTCCAAAGCAAGCCACGTAAAAAGTCTGAGTAACTTTACGTCAACAACAAACACATGGGCCCAAACCAGACAACAGAGATCAATGTATTGTATTTCCTATTGTTTATTGTTATTATTATATCAGTTCAAGATAACAGATTGGCAAGACCACATTTAATAAATAGACTTTCTAGCACCAAAGAACTGTACCTTACAATAACTTCACTGAAGTGAATAGACATGGAATTAGAATGTAGTTAATAACTTACAACTATTAATACTAAGGGGCAGTTTGGATGGTCACATATATTAGTCATCTCTATTTTCAAATCACACATTTACTACAGCAATAAGAATCAATATTTAATAGAAATCAGTAAAATAAATATTTTTTTTTCTCTCAGTTGGCCCCAGACCCCTTTTACGGTACGCGTGCCGACCCAACGGCCGCAAAGGAAACTGATCCGAGTCATTCTGGACTAACCAAATTTAAGACAATGTCGCGGCTTCAAGATGCGAAAACCTTTCTTCTCTAATTAAAAGTTTTAAACGTGAAGGGAAATTGTAATTCGTTTAAATCTCCCCCCAAACTTTTGTGATATTTAAGTGAGGCAATTTTTGCCCCTTAAACAAAGGGAACCTAAGGAAGCGTACAGAGGCACTGACATAACAACATTATCTACCTCACCTAGAAGACACCACAAACTAGAAGGAAACTTTCTTGCAACAGTGGACAACAAATAGTTTCCGTAAATAATTGAAGAGTTTCCGAAATTTAACGGTCAATCAGATGTAACCCCGAGCACTCCGAGAGCTGTTGCGTTACCTTGACGTCATCAGTATACGTCAAGTTGCAGCTTAGCAACAACTTTGGCAAAAGACCGCTGGCTTTCAAACCTCGATCCCAGACTCTCGACCCACAATCAGAGCAAACAGGTTTTGTTTCCCAGCTGTTCTAGAACAGACACCAAACGAGAAAAAAAATATCTTGAACCAATAAAACAAATTCAATAAAATCTATACCACTGTCAATCTACCTTTGTTGGTCTAATCTTCTTGTCCTCGACTCTCAAGCTTTGTGACCTAAATTTCATTTTGCTTTTAGATACATTATATAGATATATAATTTGATTTGTAATTCGTTTACATGGTAATTACACAACTGCTAATAAACCGCAGCAAAATAGTAAGCACTCGGAATTAATTTAACAACGTAGCACCAAAAATACTTTCTGCAAATTTGGAAATTATTTAATAACTTTTTTACAAATATTGATGTTAGTGAAACTGACCAGCTAACTAAATTTGTCACAAAAGGTACTAAAACCGAACCCGTTTAACTCGTGTGTACTTCTAGTTACTGGAAATGAACAAAGTACTTTAAGACTGCTACAGTAAATATAAATGTTTTGTCGTATCTACAAATAAAAAGTGCTTCCAACAAAAATATCTTTAAGCGCGCCCGTGTCTCCTCCCAGCTTATTGTAACAAAGCAGAGTTTCATTACAGGTTCTTCGGAAAATGGGAGCGGGAGCATGCCCGTTTTACTAAAACGCAATGCCGTTATATGACGTGACAGGATTCATTAAGTAAGGCAACATCCCTCATGAAACACTTACTAAGTGTAACGGTTGTTACTTGACACCATCTAGCGACACTGTGTACTGGGACCTAACAGTATTGCAGATCTTGGTACTTTCTTACGGCCTACCAAGAAAGCTATTTTAGCTATTACGTGACTGACACCTGCCAAACCATTATATGGCTTCTCTCATTGGTCGATTGACCACGTGTGGTGACGGATATCAAGTCACCGCCTTGTTCCTCCAAAGCTGTCTCCTCGCCGTCTCCCAAACGGAAATCAACGTACCCCTCTCCCCCTGATAACACCAACAGCATGGCCTCGGACACAGTCTTCTCTGGGCTCGTCCTGGCCGTGAGGCCGCCTGGACTTGATGACCTGCTGGAAGTCGCAGGCTGAGAAACCCTCTTCATGGAGCCTGGTACGGCCACAAAGAACTTGACCGAGTCGCGGTGACCGTGGAAGGACAACTGGGCATTTACCTGCAAACAGGGTATAGTTTTCGAGACTTGTCAAGGAACCACTGTGCATCATGTATTTAGCAACTTGAAGTAAAGCAACATCCGCCGTCTGTGTCGCTAGTCCTTTGCAGGTACCCCTAAAAATTTCGTCGCAGAGAAGTAATGGCCGACCCTAGAATCATAACTCGCTCGAGGCTCACAAAAAAGCCAATGTGTTTTCGGTTATACAAAATTCAAGATCGGAAATCTTACCGCAAATACTTTTGTCTCCCGCTGGTCTAAAATACGTGTACGGAAGCATATTTTTCATATTGTTACAAATTGGATGCAAATTCTTGTTGTGTCTGGGTAGGACAGGTGAACCACCTCTTCCCTCCCTTAAGGCAAGTGCTGGCCATAAAGGAGCTTACTCTGGAGGCATAAGTGCCCAAAGCCCTGTGACACCTAGTATTCTCAGAAGCCATTATTTGGATCGTCACATTACAAATGTCAGGCCGTTAGGCTGTGAAAAATGCTCATTGCTAAATATTGAATGTTTAACGCTTATACTCTTTAGTGGTCAATGCGCTTAGCTACACCTAGCTAGTTCACAGGTATGCCACTTAAACTGAAAGAAACAAAAACTTCAAAGAAACACTATAGGCTTAAAAATCCCACCTAGCGGGAGGCAGAGCAGTTGGCTATTTACAAGCATGACCAAGGACTTGACCAGGGTCTACTAAGAAACAACACAGGCTTAGTGGTAAGAGTGAGACTTCAACCTGCGACCTTTGGGTTTCAAGTCTGGCGTCCTAACCACTCAGCTGCGGCCATGCTGCCACCACAGGAAGAAGACCCCTGTGACACCAGGCTGTGTCGTACTCACCATAGAACAGTAAGGCATGAAGCTGGAACCTCTGGGAGTATCGCCATCTTTTCCTTCATTACTGTACACTCTCACTGCTCCCCCGGGACCTCCTGACCCTCCCGTCCCTGGGGAACTTGTTGATGTCTCTCCGTCATCCCTTGCAGGACGGGCAGCAACTAGAGGAACCGACAGAATGACGCCATTTCCGGTTCCCACCCAAAGACGGTCATTGGTTAGCATCAGTGACGTGATACGAACGAATGAAAATCCTAACTTGCCAGTCCCTGAAAAACAGCAACAGATAATCAATTGTAATATTATAATGTCAGTGATTCCAACACAAAGACAACTCTCAATCCATTGACCAAAGATACGTTGAAGTTGTAAGGCCTTATAAGTTTAGTAGCTCAAAATTGTCCAAGTCAGTCGTTTGTAATCCGTGCTAATCGTCTCTATCCTTAACCATCCTTGCTCCTTTACGGTATATTATTATCTCTTTGGTGTTTTTCTATCTTAATAAACTACTATTTTCAGGTTTCCTTCGATTTAACGCTAAATTTGTACCTGGCCAAAAATAACTCAAATTACTGTGACTGAGCTCCTTTCACTCCAGCTTCTGTAGCACAAAGTGACTAAAGGTATTGCTGCTCCCCCCTAGATTGTACGGTAGTCCGTCGCTGATTACTCCCCAGTACTCAGTCAGGTCGCCCCCCACCCCCACCCCCGATCCGGAGACATGGAGGTACTGTGAGAATAGTATCTTGCCCAAGAACACAACTTGTTATATGTCTAGTTCCACGAGCGAGCAAGTTGAACTAAGTTGTTTTAATATGTGGTTATAGGTTGTTGAGAAATAGCGCGATTGGCTAATAGTCGGGGACGCAGCTTCCCGTAATACCCACATGCATTATGAGCGATATCAGTGCCTGCCGGCAAAAAAAAAGTTTAATAAAATCTTTATAAGAGCTATTTAACAAACTTTCTTACTACCTCCCGATGGCTCAGTAGGGCCCTAATGGGGGCTTACTGCCCTTAGTCTTTCTTGCACGGCCAACCTTTGCTCGTTCAAGAACGACTACGAGCGATTTTCTCCGAGGACGGCCCCCGCACTCGGTTAATAAGCAAACATCCAGTAAAAAGATGCCGCAAATTGAGCAGTGCTTACCGAGCATCTTGCTGACATATGGTTCAATATCGATGTCCTGTAAGTGGTGGTATGTGTGGGCATTGTATAGTCTCAGTGTACTGTCCAGGCGTATGGACACCCACACACCATCTCCTATCCAGGCAAGCTGACGAACCTGGCTTTCACGCCTAGGATGAGCATCAAAGGTTTTCTGTAAACATCAGATAGAAAAAAGTTAGGCTACAAGGCACTGAGATAAACTTTGGTCAATAGGCCAAATTACAGTTGTATGCTTAGTTACCTGGCCTACGAATGTAAGCAAGGCTGGAGGTAACCTTGCTTTGATACAGACCTCTCTGCTTTTCTCATTTAAATGCCAACTAGTATGCAAAAGAACAACTTGATTTACACAACAAAACCAGTGAGGTCTTTATCAAAACAAGGTCACCTACAGCCTAGCTGCCATTCAAAGGTTAGGTCACTGAACTGTAAAATGTGTCCAAAAATCAAACGTTTTCAAGAGAACATGAGTATACACAAATACGAACGGTGGTGTTTTTCATGCTACCTCTACTTTCATGCTACGTGGATGAATGACTTGGATTTTATTTCGATAGCCACACCACACTTTGTCGTGCACCACTGTCATACAGCGTATGGAATGGTGAGGGCGACCGAGATCCAGCAAGTGATAATTGTTGAAGTTCCACTGACCATCTACAATGAATAAAAACAAGACTTATCAGAGCACACTTCACTTGAGTGTCGAAAGCAAGTCACATTTGCTTTGGCTCTGCATAAGCACGCTGCACGATTGGTTGAAAAAAGTGACGCTATTTTCTCAACCAATCAGAAGTAAAACCAAAACCAATCGCGACTCGCTCGCACACATTTTCCCGCGCTTCGCGTCAGCTACATGTGTTTACTTCGAGTTTTGATTGGTTCACTGGATTGTCGATTCTGTGATTGGTCAGGGTAAAAACTTTGGTTTCAGTTTTACAACACGAACAACCGCTTTAATTAGTAATCACATCTGATCAAAATCACAACAAACCAATCAGAAAAGTGTAGCTACCACCAAGCGCGGGAAAACATACAACCAGTGCCAAGCGCAGGAAAGCAGGCGTGTAAGCCAAGTCACTGATAGGTTGACAATACAGCAGGCTTTATCTGACTGGTTGAAGAACGTCAAACAGAGCAGATACAAAACCAACACACAAGTCAGAATTCTCTTGAACCCTACCAGTCTAAGGATAGCATGGTTACAAAAGGCAGACCAGTCACACTATTACAACATTTTGTATTTACAAAAATATCGATAAAACTGCCCTGGAAGTAAGCAAAATGGAAAGCACACATCAAAATGAAACAAAGAAAGACTCACCAGAAGCCCTGTGAAAGATAGCGACCGTGCCATCTGCAAGACCAACTAGAACACGAGCTTGCACGTACCTACAACAACAAAGTTTGCCATCAAATTACAGAACAGCTCACTATTTAAGGACCATTAGCACTTGTTACATCTTCTTAGCGCGGTTTTCAATTGAGTGTTGTAAAAACCAATTAGACTACTCAGCCAATCTCAAACCGTGGTAAAACCAAAATGAAAACCAAAGTAATTGCCTGATTACTTTCGACACTCAATTGAAAGGCTACCACTATTAGTTCCTGATGTTACACAAAATAATTTACAGCCAATCGTCGACTCATGAGTCACAAAGTAAAGGAACCATCTCGCTTACTGTGATGTAATCTGAGGTTTGCAGAGTGTAAATAACAGCAGATTGTTCCTTTTAACCTTCCCTATTTGCTTTGTATGTACTCACACTATGCTAAGCACAGAGTCCTTCAATCTGATCGAGTGGATGCATTTCTTCCAGTCAGATATGACTGAGTGCACATACACACTGAAAGGAGAGAAAGAAAAAAAAACAAGCAATCAGTGAGCATTTTCTGGCAGGTACAGAATCCTGATGGGGCCTAATTATCATTTAACTGTGCGTGAGATGTAAAACTGACTGACTGGATGATTGGATGCTTAACTGACTGACTGGCCGACAAGCTGACTGACTGACCCACAGACTGACACACCAACTGGCTGATTAATTTATTTAATAAATAAAGAAATAAATTACAATATTTAGAGAGAAAGCCACATCAGCCTTAGCTGGTTTTCATGCAGGACGTCTATTCTGGTCGAATTGGAATTTGGAGTGTTAGTTTTTGTGGAGGGAGGAAAACTGGAGAACCTGGAGAAAAACCCTCGAGACAAGGCGAGGGCCACATTGGTGGTAGGCGAGCGCTCTCACCACTGCACCATCCCTGCTCCTCCTCTTCCCCTATTTGCCGCACTAAGTCCCTTACCAGCCAGACTGTGCCCCAAGCCACATGGTAGGCAAGACACTGCTCATTTTGTCAATTCCATCCACTTGCACAGCTTCAGGTGACATGCTCTCACCAGCTGTTATGTCTGTTACAGTTGGGCCGTCTGAACCAGCTCCCTGAGCTGTTTGCACCCCTGAAGATACAGTAAACATAACATAAAGGTGAAGTCTGCATTCAGGCCTAGGGACCCTCTGCCCAGTGCTTAACTGCAGGGTCAATAGCATGAGGTGTCTTGAAATTTTTTCACACCCCCCTGGATGGGATGCTAGTACATCGCAGGACTACCCACCTATCCCTCAGGATTTTCGGTTTGACCACCCACCCCCAGCCCCACTTCTAGAAACTTCAGTTCAGCTTCATACCTTCCTTAATATATAAGTTTGGCTTTTGCAACTCCCCACCCCCTCAGAATTTCCAGTGACCTTCCTTCCTTCCATGGGGTGGGCAAGGGCATTTTCTGCAATTGCACACCAACAGCCCATTCTCATAATCCACCATCAAGTCGCTATCCTGTGTCCACTGCATTGCAATTTATCTCATGGATAACATTACCCACCCTTTGGACAGCCGGGGGGCTTTAGAAGTAGAAACATAACAGTACCTAGAGGATCAGTGAATCCTGCACCTCCTGAATCTTCACCAGAATCAGCTTTATCTGGATTTGCCTGCAATGGATCTGCCATAAAAACAAAAAGAAAAGCATTTCCTTCTAACACCACAGGAAAGTTAAATCTAGGAAAACATGTATCAGTTCAGTTATAAATGGTTATCATGGGCATCTCTTTTCAAAATTTCCCAAATTTTCCCCGATAAAAATAAGATTTCCCTGACCAAATAAATAATATATGTCAGATCTAGTAGCAGCTTCAGGCATCAACTTGCAGCCATCCTTTCCATTCGTTCATTAAGACTTATAAGTTGTCTACAAATTTTACTTCTTCATTAAGGTGAAATATTGTTGAGATCACAGTGACCCCAAAAGGTTATTACATCAGCCGTGTTAAATTATTTCAATTTTCCCTGACTCAGAATAAAATTCCCTGACTTTGCCCAGACCTTGAAGAATTTTTTCCCCTGACCATTTTCTGACCTGTGGCAATCCTGTATATAGCTCACAAGGATTTTACCTTCTAGTGTCCATTCTGACCCTTGATAATCTCCTTCTGAGGCTCCCGGCACAGGGGTGAGACACAACAGATGTGATGTGCACACTATAAAACAATCCAAAATGTTCTGAGGATAATTGGCATCCACTACAGTAACCTTGCTGCATGAGTGTGTACTACTGCCGATCCACACCATGGATACTTTAGGCTCCAGCTTTGGATCCGTTGTAACTGCCTCCTCCTGGTCACGTGCGCTATCAGTGTAGAATACACTGGTTGCACCGATGAATGAGCCACCGTCTTGGGTTTTCCCACCAGACAGATCAACTCCAGCAGCACACCAAATCTGTACAAGGGTGACAAGTCTGTTATCACTTGCAGTCCACACTAATTACGATACTACAGTTTCAATACACCACAACCTCGGAATTCGCCAAGACAACAGAAACTCTCTGTATAAAGGAAGTGCTACATTGAGTTGGGTATTTATTGCTGGGAGGTGTTAGTGAGACAGCACACTATTCTGGGATTCCTGTGTACGCATTGGTTCTCCTGTGTTATAGCATAAGATTTGAAAACCGTTTGGATGTCAGAATTGCCAATGCATTTAACGATTGTGTATGATGGGCTGTGTACCTAGTATGTAATGCCACATTTATTCAACACAATCGGGGTAACATTGTTTAACTTTCTAGGACATTGAAATTACATCTAGTACATTGTATGATTGTACAAATTGATAGTTTTGAACACTGAGTATACTGTAACACACTGCTATGTTGTTGGACAAATTTTCAGCAGAAATTTGTCCATTTTTAACCAGCCTGTGAAAGAACACTTCAGTCACAGTGAAAGGTGACCCACATAATGTCATGTTACAGGTTTATGCAATGCTTGCCACTGCCTGATGCTTTTTTTTTTTTTTTGAGATAAGAAATTTAAAAAAAGACTTTACTCCAAATCATTTCTCAGCCTTAAGTAGCAACCATCTCACCCATGCTAAAAAGTAACATTATTTCTTCCATAAATAAATATTGACTGATCTGGAACTCCAAACTTACTTTCATTCCGGGATCATTAAGATTCAGAGGTCTGCAATAGACTGGAACAGGAACGGAAACAAGACTTTTTCCTCCCTCGGCAACTTCAGTTGAGTATTTGGCTGGAAGACTCCAGCCATAAGCTTGCATTCGACCCTCAGCAACATCTGCCAATGAACAAAAACAATTTTGAGTTACAGAAAGAACCTAGCAAGAAGACTTTGTAAAAGATAAAAACAACATTCTTTGAATCTCATTATCAAACTTTGAATGTTACAATTTTTAACATCACAAATTCCAATATCATAACAAGTTTAATTTTGACCCTTGGCAACAAACAACAGGAGAAAATCTGCTTTATGGTACAAATGTAAAATTGAGACAAGAAATATAAGTGATAGAAACCAACATTTTTTACAACAGTACTACAACTACTAATTACAGAAGTGATAACTATTTACAACAGTAATACAACTACTAACACTACTTACTTTAATTAACAATACGATACAATTACACATGCTACTTACAATACTCAAATTTGTATAATNTTGCGTCTTCCTCCGGTTTTATTTTTCTTCCCAAGGCCTTTCCCCCCATTTTCTATCAATTTGAATGTCTACTTCGGGACCGCAGCAGAGCTCAGAAAATTGCGTCTGCCGCGATTGCCGCTCTTCCCAGTCTCCTAATTAAATACATAAGTAAAGATAAAAAGTGGTTTGTGAAGAGGCCAAGTTGAAGCGAATAAGAGAGTGCCAGACTAATCACATGAATACTTTGAGTAATTAGCTTGGCACTCTCTTATGCAAATTCACTTCAACTTAGCCTCCTCACAAACCGCTTTTAATAATTAATTATGTAACTTTGATAATGGCACAAGATGCACCAAAACATCGGTTTCTATCACTTATATTTCTTGTCTCATGTACTTCCAAATCGTTTCTTATAAATGTAAAATTAATGGGACAAACCATGAGGGTCATCCACAGCTGACATCAAATTTACTTTGTTGAATTAAAAGGTATTTTCTTCATCACTTCAAAGAAAATTTGTAATGTATCATTCATGATGAAACAGGTTCTGATTTCTTCACCTGAGTTGAGAAACGCTCTCACTTGTCTGTATCGTTCTCTTCTATCAACCACACGCTGTCTATCAAAGCTACATGGAGAAAACAATGGAAACATACCACAAATTAGTACATTTAATGGCTGAATGAGAAATGTTTTGGAAACTTCAGCAGTAGGCCAGTGTTTGCACAGCTTTTTGCATTCTTGCACCCTGTCAAGGGTGTTTCGTTAGGTTAACAGATACAAGAAGAAAACAGTTTCTGTATCTCTTAGAAAAAACAGAGAATATAAAATTACTTCTTTGTTATGATTATTAAAATATATATTCTTTTAGTTCGCACAATCATTATATCAACAGCTCACTCAAGTTCTGTACTTCTACAGTGCTATTATAGAAATACAGCTTTTGCTCAGCACAATGTTCAGGGTGTTTTCTAAGGCTCAGTAGGCTTGGAGAAATTCTGCTTGCATCTTTTTCCATTCCACCTGACAACAGCACTCATTAAAACTGCCTATTATGCTTGGTAATAGTTGAATCCCAATAAGAATGATCCTTTCTTTTCTCTTTATGACGTCATATCGCCATTTTGATAAATAACAAAATTTCCTCACTTTTCACTGCCGAATCCTCCTCCACCAGTAGCCACAGCTATGGAACCTGTGGAGCCAGAGCTGATAGAGTTGCTGCGTCGAGAGGCAGGAGATGACTCTCCCTCCCCCTGGGGGGAATTGTACCTGATGCTCACCATGGGAGGTGCAGGCTTCTTAGGAGAGGGACCAAACAGGTTGCTGAAACTGATGGAATGGTGCTGTGTTACTTAAGGTATCAGAATACCCCTAAATTGACCATTTTTCCATAAAATTGTTTTTTGCTTTTTCAGACACATCTTATTGCAATCTTCCATTTAAAAAATGTCTAAGAAAAAAGATTGATTCTAAGCAAAGTTATAAAAGAAAAACATTTCTTTGCATTAATTACCTCTAATTGATAGCTGTCAGTGGGTTGTCAAGACAAGTAAACTTGCATTAAAAAGTTGCCTGACAGATTGCTGTGTAGTAAGATTGTCAAACGTTTGTGTTTGGTATTTGACGAGCTGTTCTGAGTGTTCTCTGTTTGTGGATTGTCGATTTAGGCTTAAATAACTTGTCGTTGAAGAAATACATACATTTGTGTCCATTTACAAGTGCGAAGAAAGCACCACAGAAGAAAAAGCCAGGGGAAAGGGTTTTGAAACATTCAATCAGATACTTTATACCCAATACCTTATAATCAATTTACCAGTAACTCTCAGCATCAAAAAAATTAATTAAAATGAATTAATCTAATATTCAGCTGTTTTTGAGAACTATTCTGTGCTGCGGTTCAATACATTCCTAAGGTTAGAAACTCCCCCAAGCTTAAGTAATTAACTTATTACTACCTCAACAAATTTATCATACTTACAATTTCCAAATGGATGATTTCTTCTTCTGCTGCAGTTCAAGGTTTCTCTCTTTTGATGCTCTGGGGAGGAAAACAACTGGCTTAAAAAGAATAATCTACATGTAGTAAACATTTCAGCATCAAACTTGGTTAAACGACTAATCTCAACCTGGTCCTTCCAAGAAGAATTTAAGATACTTTAACCATGTTCCAAATGCAGTACATATTGATAACAAAATACCATATGAGATCACCAGTGCTAAAAAGTAAAGCTAGCTACAGTAATGCCTACTATATTTATTACACTTCTGAAAAAACTGAAGGATACAAAACTGCCTGTCATGGAAATGTCATGCTTATTAGCTGGTAATTACCTTATCATTTCTGTCCATCTAACAGCCTCTTGCAGCTCCATCAATCTTTCTTTGTACTGGTTCCTCTCCATTAGCACTCGAGCCATTTCAACTCGTGTGAACCTCTTACGATGAGCAGCTGAAACATTTGCCTACAAAATAAAATAATTACTTTTAATTTAATTAATTCTCTCAGTTTCACACTGATGGTGTCTTTGACTGACCTCATTCCATAATTATTACAATATATTCCAGAGTGATCCAAAATAGCCATGCCTCCACAAGTTAATAAAACACTTATCATGCTTCTGGGATAATCCAAGTTATGGATTGTGGCAAATGTTTGTTGTTACATTTAGGAAACCACTCTTTCATTTGCTAGTACACATAAAAATAAGGGAACTTCACACATATTATTAACAGTTTATATTCCCCATCAGCTGCAGTCAAAATATATTTTGGTGTACATTGCATATCTAATGCAAAAAAATATTTGCTTGTTAAAAGAAGTGAGATAAAAGGTTAGTTCCTGTTCCCATTTCGTTTCTGGATTCCAGATTCCAGATTTTTCATAAGCCCATCAAAAACCAGGTATATTTGGCATGTAGTTACTTAGAACTACAAGCCCACCTAGATATACAATAATTATTGATCAATGATTTATCATAAATTGCATGTCTGATGCACAAATAAAGGCAGACCTGCAACTGGATGACATCTGTAAAAAGTGTTTAAATTTGTTTTAAATTGTTGAGTCCAGAAAGCTTTTACCTCTTTTAAGGCCACTGTTGCTTTTTCTGCATCCATTTTGACTCTGCAAGAGAAAAAATACTTTAACTAATGCCCTCAAAATAACAACAAAACAATTAGAAGACTTTGTCCAGTTCAGTTAAGCATAAAAGGAAATCGAGTCATTAAAAAATCACTTAGACTAATGACTTATTATCACAGTGAGTTATGGGTGGTTTAATTCCACCTGTTACCATCCTCTCCCCAGGCATACCCCCAGGAATTTGAATTTTTTTTTCTTATTTGGCGGCCTATTCCCCAACCCCGACATGAAAAACGAGGCAGACAATTCAATGCCCCGGGACTCCTATCTACCTCAACTATGTCTTCCCCATTTATTTGTCCATTACATCACATCTACAATTAAATTGATCTTATGTCTGCTAAATTAAATATAATGGTCGGAGATCTTAGCAAGCTCAACGAGCTTTTCTATGAAGATCCCCAAAAATGTCTGTATGTGTTCAAAGAAGGGTGGCAATTGAATATTCATTGCTGTACAATAGCAAAAACAGATGTTTTGTCAAGAACACAAAGCTTTTCTAGAGTTTACTCAACAAGGGATACTACGTAGAGTAATTTAATTTTTACCAAATATTGAAAAAAGAACTGATTTATATCCCATACCACATTAACGATCCAAAAATAAAATGAATCCGAAAGTATATTATAAAGTCGGAAAACCAGTATTAAATGATAATTAGAATTATAATGATTATAATTATTCTCCAATTAAAATGCTTTGTTGTTACAAAAGAAAATCTGTCACATCCATGGGATTTGGACAATATTTCATGAAACTCGATGCCACATTTAACACAAATTTAATTGCAATTTGTATTAAATGCACTTACCTTGTTTTAAAACATTGTTTTGCTCCAGCCAAGCCAAAATAAACTTTATCGGCTTTTCAACAAAAAATCTCTTTTTGGCAAGCAGTGTGTAACTGTTCTGTGTTTGATAAACTACCTGCACGAAGTAATTTTTTATTTGCCCCACTTACCTATCCCCGGGACAAGACTGCCTCAAACAATTCCCCAGCCCCAGGCATGAAGGGCTGGACTTGTCCAGAGGGTTACCCAGGGGCAGATGGTAACAGGTGGAATTGAACCATGCATTTACTCAACAAGGTGTATGAAAGTACACCAGTGAAATAACTTAGAACTTAATATAATTGTATGCAGAATATATCAAAATAATTTACCACTTAGCGAAGTTTGAAATAAGGTTTGAAAGTGGTTCATGACTGAGTAAAAATACATAATACTAGTAGATAGATATAACATGCTAAACAAAACAAAGTAACAGACATTAGGCTGAGTTCTTGTTCTTATTTGTTTTACATAGCCCTCAAATGATATTGAACATTCAAACCTCTTGAGTTCCTGTTCAAGCTCTGATATGTGTGTTGACAAGCGGGTCTTGGTATCTTGAAGTAACATGACTTCATCTTTAGCTAATTCCCTCTCACTAAAGTGATCAACAGTTCACAAGTAAGAACACCAAGATGAGTACTTCTTCAAATGATAATATATTTTCAATCAACAGATTTGAAACTGATTAGAAACGCATTGTTATTGCATTTTCATTCTTCAGATTTTTTCAAATTCTCCTACATTGTAAAATATAATATAAGCAGAGTTTACTAAGAGAATTTATATGTGGATGTAAACCTACTTGGATAGTTCTTCTACTCTCTTCAGAAGATCATTCTTTTGAGTTACAAGTCTGGTCCTGCAATTTAATCAGAAATAACAACAAATCAAGAACAATAATACACAAATGAACATTATTTTTTACTGTTTCTTAAATATAGTGGCCTTACTAATGGTAAACATGCTGGAATTCAGATGAAACAGTTCAAGTTTGAGCAGTAGCTGGGTTTATTGTTTAATTTGTTTTCTTGGGCAAGACACTTTACTCTCACAGTTATTCATTCCATCCAGGCACAGGTTGTTCAAAGGACGGATATTGATATCCACCTAATAAATCACTATCCAGTGGATAGAGTTTGTTGTGACAACACTTATCCACTGGTTAGCATTATAAAACCTTTGAAAAGCTAGGCCAGGTGTGAAAAAAAAAGATCAGCAAGGCTAATGCTGCGAGGATACACTCTGATGGATTGGAGGGGAAGTAGAAATACTCCACGTTGGTTATTGCTATGAAACCACGATAGCTCCATCAAGATGGGACACTGTCGCCCAACGTATGAGATGTGTTAGCTATAATAATTATTAGTATCTCAGACTGTTTACTTACTTCGCTGTCAATAATTCCGTGTTCTCCTTCAACACCGTATCCAATTCTCCGACCATTGCTGTAATATCTGCACCAGTGTCCACCTGTCCAATGATGTCTGGTTCTTGAACTGACAGCTCCGCAAACAGTGAATGTGCACTGACACCCTCAGGTAACGTCTCAAGATCCAGAGATATTGGACGCTCTGCACTCTGTCTACTTCCTCCCCTCCTGATCACGTCTACTGGTGAGGATAATGCATTAGGGTTTAGTTCAGGAGTTGAGGCCATGATAGCTGCTGCGTCATTACTCAGGAAGCTTCCATCTGGAGGACTTTGAGCCTCCCCAGAAATTGCCCTTTCAACGTCTGTCACTGTCATGATTGGCATGTTGTCCACATCTGTTAGATGACAGGTTCCAGTATCTAAACTCTGCAAAGAACTTGCCGTGCTTGAACGTGAACCTTTAGGTTGGATATCACTGGTCTTGGCATCTAGTTTATCACTGGTAATGACAACGCTCACATTATTAGCAGTAACACAAGTGCCTCCAGGAGACACTTGGTTGTTCTGAATGACAGAAGAATCCTCTCCAGGAGTTGTTGTCTTCCCACTCTCAGCATCTGCACAATGACAATAAAAATGTTTTCATCAGTAACAGTAACTCTTCTGAAATGGGTGATTCCAGGAAATATCCATACCTATACCATGGGTGGCATTTTGAGAGTTCACAATTTTGGAATTCGGAGAGCATGGGGGGTAATGCATTTTGCAATTTCTGAACGCAAGGGGGTTGGGAGTTAAAATTGTCATGCCGCCCATGGTAGGGTATGGATATTTTCTGGACTCACCCACTGCATTACATTGAGAAAATGGCTCACAGGAAACATTCACTCACAAGAAAGTTTGACGACTTAAAAACATGATAACAAAAGTTTGAGCAAACCTTTCCTGACACCAGCAAGTTGTTCTTCTTCAAGTGACATCTCATTACTCTCCCTTCTGTTTGCAGGAAATTGAGGCATTGACACATCCACATCAGGGCTTTTCGGAGCCACTGGGGAGGTGCCAGGAGGTACCAGTTCCCCTATGGAGTTCACAGGGGTTCCCACAGGTGACCGTGGAGACTCAGAAGAGACAGCCCTTGGTCTATCCAAGAATAAAACATGATCAACAAAGTGTTCAAAGTCCAGACAGTGAATGCCATAGAAAAGTAGGTCCACATGTGTATGTACATCTACAAAGATCTTTGCATTTCTCAATATAGATTCTCTTTGCCTTCCTTTTGTCTAGCAATGTAAGTTTTAATACACTCACTGGGAATCATTTTTTGGATGAAACAGAACTTGTTTTAAAAAACAACCAAACTCAGTTAAAAATCTCGATAAACCACTTCCAAATTATCATTTGCCTCTTTATAGAATGAGTCCTCGAGAAAAACTTTTCGTATGAAAATTAGTTTTATTTGCAAGCATGAGAATGAACGTGCATGTGAAACTCATTTTCATATTAATTTTTTTTTTGCGTGAAGACTTATTTTGACATAGACGCAAAGGTCAACTCAAAAATGCCACCATCTATGTACCTGTACTCTTATTGACGAAAAATATTAGCCAATGAGCGTGCAAGAAATTTGACATTGGTTGCAAATTAAAATATTTGCATGTCAAAGTAATTCGAGTTTACAAGTTTGTATAGATCATGGGAGTATTAAATTTGAACGAAACAGAACTCCTCCAAAAAAATTAAACAAAATCATTTAAGTTTAACAGCCCTTGGTCTATCCAAGCTTTAACAAGTTCTTTAGTTCTCTTGTTACCTTCAGTTGTATTTAGTTGTACCTAGTTGTATATTAATAACTCGTCCTAACATGACCCGCCTAGATTAGCTCAGCTATCGCGGGCATGTTACAATTGTAATTTTAATTTGAGAACAAATAAAATGTATGTATGTAAAAAAAAAAAAAGTTTAGTTACCAGTACCTTAGAGGATTTCTGGTCGGTGTATCTACTGTGGAGCTTGATCCTTTCCTGTCATCTCGCTGTAGTCTTTCCATGTGTTGGTGAAGTAACTAAAACAAAAAGGAACCCACACTCATATCAAATGATTTACAACATCTACTTGAATCATCATGTACACTCCCAAAATAAACAAGATATTGCGTACACTGAGATTTGCTTAAAGATATTTGCCATAAGTGATTTGTGATGTTTCATATTAACAAAATAGAGAAATTGTTAATTAAAAATTACCTGTTACATAAATAAACAAGAGCCTTCATTTGGCAAGAAAATATGCTTGAATGGATCTTGGTTCGTGGCCATTATCTGTTCTTAGAGGCGAACAGTCTTCCGGGAGTGTAGCTCAAGCAAAACTGTGAGCTTTGAGGAACAGAATGATAATGTCCAGCACAACAATCCAAGCATATTTTCGTACAGAATGGAGCCTATTGTGTTTATTATGCTTACAATATTTTTCACAACATGTGCAGTTTTGAAAATTGGGGAATATCACTCGGATATACCAGCTTTACCTGGGGCATATTCAGTCCTGTGACATGTTTAGACCAATTGTGTGCAAACGAAAATAATAAATTTATGAATTACAATTATAATTTCTTCATTTATAATTATAGGTATACTGAAACATCTGCCGTATTTCAGATACTTTACAAAGCCTCCACTCTTGTTAGCACATTATGGGAAATACATGAAACTGTTATATAGCAGAAATTTTTTCCTNGAATGGAGCCTATTGTGTTTATTATCCTTACAATATTTTTCGCAACATGTGCAGTTTTGAAAATTGGGGAGTATCACTCGGATATACCAGCTTTACCTGGGGCATATTCAGTCCTGTGACACGTTTAGACCAATTGTGTGCAAACGAAAATAATTTATGAATTACAATTATAATTTCTTCATTCATTTATTTATAATTATAGGTATACTGAAACATCTGCCATATTTCAGAGACTTTACAAAGCCTCCACTCTTGTTAGCACATTATGGGAAATAAATGAAACTGTTATATAGCAGAAATTTTTTCCTTAGCAGAGCATGCTCTTGTTGCCTACCTTGAGGTCACAAGACATTTTGTAATAAAAAGCACTAAAAGAGCCTAGTAAGACTTGCCCAGGGCAAGCAAAATTTGAGAGCTACTTGTCCCAAGGGCAAGCTGGAATTCAAGTTCATTTTGAGCCTTGGTTAAGCATGATGGAAAACCTCTCTATAACCTGATTTTGTACTCACCTCAGAATGTCTTTCATGAAGTGTGTGGTATTCACGTTTCATGTCTGCTATCCTCTCATCCTGACGTTCAACTAAAAACAAACATTTGTTTATTAAGAGGGCAACAAGGAAGTGTTAGTTCTGTTAGGAGAACAGGGTCTAACCCAAGAGTTATGCAGAAGATTTATGCTGCAAAACATTTTCTTCTTGTCCTTCTATTCTCAAGAAGGTATTGAGGGTAACAAAGAAATAGTATAAGCTGGCTTTTACTATTAAGTTAAACGATACTTTTGCTTGCCTTAAAACATAAATGTTTGACATAACAGTTCTGACAGTTGGCACTCACTGTGATCTTGGTAGCTTTTGATGCGAGACTCCAGACTTTTGTTGTCATGTTCTAGTGTGTCAATCTGCTTCTGGGTATCTCTCTTTTCAGCTTCAATTTGATCTTCAATCTCAAGGTATTTCTGCAATGATTATTAATAACTTTTATCACATGATAAATCTATTTTTAGAGGCTGAATTTTCTCTTCAAGTTTCTAAATTATATGCAAAGAGAGACATCAATTTTCTCACTCAATCTTCTGCACACAGTTCCCTGACATCTTTTTCTTCTTTCTTCAATAATTGAGAAAGAGAAAAGAGAATTTAAACTGTGAGACCAGGCTGAAACCCCTAAATTATTGCTGTGTGATATTGAAAGTTGGCCACAGTGCATATATAGTTATGCATGTCAAAAAGTCAGCTTATGTCAACAGTTCTCACTTGCACACTGATATCTGAATACTTTAATAGCCTCCATAGCCTTGAGATAACCAAAGACAGTTTGCACATTATGACACAGTGGTCAGGCTAGTGTTCCCAAACACTAAACAATGTGCTGGTTATGTAAACCTTCCTTTGATGCAGACAATCTGTTGCATGGAAAGCAATATATCATCGCGAGATAAATGGCACTTAATAACGTAACATAATAAAGGAGATGCCCAAAGTAAACATTACATTTGAAAATATCTGACATATACTTCAAGCTTACAGAACAGTGCAGTACACCATGTGAGGTGGTTAGGAAGTTTAATTGTATTAGCAAATGTTTACACTTTCTTAATTAAGTTTCTCACTTCACTTCTGCCCAACACACTCAACTAAATATCCTTCCTCATACATGTGACAAGGGCACATCTGTATATCTTTAACACGTTCTAATGTGTTGCTTGTTTTGGATTTCTTAAACTGGCTTATAGATGTCCA